GACCTGGGAACCGCCCCCCCGAATTAAAGCATCTCCCTTTGGATCCTACGCAGACAGCCCGAGGAGGCTGCAGCACCTCTCGCCCTCTCTGCGCCTGCAGAACTCGCGCTCCAGCTGGTGTTCATGGGGGGGGCTCCCAGGTCTCACCCCAGGCCTCCCCCTCCTCTCATCAGCTTCGATTTTAGCAGACAGTTCACGTTTCGGGTGTTTGGTTTGGGGTTTTTTTATTGGAAGGGTTTGGCAGCTACCCTAGCATCTCCTGCTGGACCCAGTGTCATTCGTGTCCTGGAGCTGCTGCTGCTCAGGAGCATCCCCCGGGGCTCTGCTTTCTGGGGAAACAACAGCAAACACCACGGGGGGAGGTGTGTGCTTTGGGAGCAGGAGCTGCCGGCGGGGAGGCAGAGGAGATGCTGCGAGGGGCTGATTCCCACCCGGGGAAGTACCCAGCCAGGTGTGTAGGAATTCAAAAAGCAAAAAACATCATTTTCTGATATAAGTTTATAATGAATTTTGACTTAAAATAATAAGCAGTATACACAACATACAAGTGAGTTTACAGAGGCGCTGCTGGATCTGTTGACTTCAGAACCTACCAGTAAGTTCACAGGTTTTTGCTTTCTCTGGCCTCTGTCTGCCAGCACCCAGGCTGGCCCGTGGCTTTGTGTAGTCACTCAGGTTCGGTCCCAAGTTCCAGCTTCACCTGTCACCTTCGCCGGGGAGACAGGAGAAGCCTCGCGCAGAGGTTGCTCTTGCTCAGGGGGGTCGGCAGTGTGGCCGGGGGCTGGGTTTGCTCGAGGGAAACACGGGGATCACAGAACTGTCGTACGGATTCGCAGCACCCGTCCTCTGGCCTTGACAACAAGTAAAAGCAAGAATGCTTTCTGCAGGAGCGGGTTATGCTGAACTAGTGTTTATGCTGGTGAAACTTCACTGCAACGTCAATTCTCTGGGGAGGCGTGGGTGCCTCAGCCATCGCATCCCGACCCTCCGTCCTGCAGTCCGTAGCGGTTGCACCGTCCCTTTGCACGCAGAGCATCGGGCAGCAGCAGGTTCACAGTTGAAGCAAGGATTGCCGACTCCTCCGAGGCAGGGATTCGTTCTGCTGAGCAAAGAGAAGGGTCCACAGCACCTCCTGGGAAATGCAGTCCGTCCTTTAGTGCTTTCGCAGAATTCATTAAATAAAAGTCATGCAGCTGAACTACAGCTCCCAGACCGTCGGGGCCCTCGGGGCACAGGGTTTTAAAAATTGCCGGGGGGGTGGCAGTGGATCCTTCCCTCCGTGCTCCTGGCTCCTCCGGTCTGGTCCAGCCACTCGGCCCGTTTGGGGGCTTTACACGTGTGCACGTCCACCGTGTCCTCGCACTCCTTGCAGCGCACGGCGCAGCACCAGTGGAACTTGCACTCGCACTTGGTGACGCGTGTGACGCGGGTGGTGTCGTACCCC